TCTACCTACTGCTACACCTCCCCCCAGCAGTAGTTGGAGGACTGATATTGCACATTTCAGAAATATTCTCCAATTCCATCTTCTAATCCTTATAGAAATATAATTTCAAGGTTGGTCCCTGCCCCCACACAATATAGCTATTCTACTGTCCAGGGTATGATTGCAAAAAAGGAAAAGAAGAAAGATTCACAGCTGCAGCCCCAATTCACCATACTTCCATTTCAATTTCAGGAAACAAGAAAAAAGGCAACTTCTGTCAATGTGTGCAAAGCAGTTAAAGGATACAAAATGGATTACACCACTAGTATATATATTGCTTGCAAGACTGACAATTTTGAGTGCAAAAGTGGTCACACCACATTTAGCAGAACAGAGGGTAAATTTTGCCATCTTTAAGCGAACAGTCAACTGTTCTGGCTAGGTTTATGGAAAACAACTATTTTGATAAATTAAGTATTTCTAATCAATACAAATGTAAAGAGTTCTCCCATACCAGATGATCTGTTTAAAGCAAAATATTCAACTTTACATTGTTATTTAACATGAATATCAAATTTAGCAGTCAGAATTACAACTCATAGGTAAAGCCTTGATAAAGGCATGCTCCAACAGGTTATTAAAATAATATAATAGTTCAATTTACTCTTTATCTTTTGGTCCTGGACATCGACTGAAAAAAAAAACCCCACATGAATGGTAACAGAAAAAAACCTCTTTCAGTGGTTATATAAAAGAACATAAAAAGAATCAGAGTAGAAATCCACATCTTATTTCTATTTCAATTAAAGCACGGTTTAAAAAAACATCGTTACTTACAAATGAACAGCATAAAAATGTTATCAATTGCATTATTAAGAACATATGTTCTTAAGAACGTATGACATAGGACGCTCATATGGATGTAAATAACACTAATTGCCTCACTTAAAAATATACAGTTTAATAATTTATTTATTATTTTACCTGAAGAAAACTAAGAATTAGCATGACTGCATCTATACTAATGAATTCACTGCTCTCATTTTTTATATTTGGCTTTTATCTTCAGATAATAATTCTCTGTCTCCCCTCATCCTCTAATATCACCCCACCCTTAGACAAGTCTGCTTGAATTTTAGCTAACAAGGGTTCTGTGTATTTGTATTCTTTTACTAATTTCCATTAATATTACTTTGACAATAATGCAAAGCGACAGACAAAAGCAAAGCAATAAACAAAAGCTCTGACAGAACAGACACCAAGTCACTCTTTCTTTCAAATTTGCTAAATCAAGTTGATAATTAACCTCTCATTTATAGCACACCCTTTACAAATCAGGCAACGGTGGTAACGGAGGAAATTAATTAAGCTAACTTTAATTTCATTTTGCATTTTACATTAGCTTGGCAAATTAAGCTGACAAATAATAAAGATGATAATAAAGTTCCACCTACGTGAATTCTTCTGAGTATTCTCAGTGGCTCCTGGAGATGACATGGCAGGAAGAAATAAGCAAGTAAAAAGAAACACAGTACTGGTCAAGTGGAAGCTCCGGTTACCAAGCAGCTCCACTGATGTGCATCTTCATTGATGCAGAACAAAGACCGATGCTAGAAGGCTGCTTTTTCAAAGCAGTGATACCGCGACTGCCAGTTTTCAATGGGTCACTCACACACAGATGCATACACATGGATACTTCAACTCAGCGCCTTTCCAGAACCTGAACACAAGCTACCAGCAGCTGGGCTATACCAGAAATGCACGCATGTATTTGGGAAGGTACCACATGCTGCTAAATAAAGGGGTGCTAGAAAGAGAGAAACCTTCCTGGCGGGTTATAATCTGATGGCATGCAGTAACAAGCATGTGTTTATTTGGCAGAGAGCTGGAAGTGATTGAAAAAGATTTAGAAGCAAGGAAAAAGGTACGGAAGGGTTCCAAATTCTTCGTTTTATTAGGCGATGTTCATAAGGCTCTCCCCTCAAGTATTTTGCTTTAACGTGGCTTAGCTCAGATACCCCACAAACCAGATTACATACTATTCTTACTTCACACATAAAATATTAAAAATCTTGGATGTGATTTTTAAATAAGTTAGGAGCAGTCTTCTCTACTGAAAACTGATTTTTTTGTATTACATATCCAGACTACATTGTCATCAAAAATTCAAAAAATGGTTATGCAGTTAAAAAAAAATTACAGAAACAGCACATGACTGAGAATCTTTGGTTATGGTGATGCTGCAGTTACACAACGGTGCATTTATGTTTCAGAAATTGTAAGGCGTTGCTCAGAATTTGGAATGCTGGCACGCGTTGCCTCTTCAGTTTAGGCAAGTGCACAGTGCTGCTGGAAACCATGATAGCCATAACAATTGCTTTCTTTTACTTAAAAAGATCACATTTTAAAGAGCTCCTTGATGACAATTTTCAAAATACAGTGTAGAGACAAAAGGGAATTCTGTAACAAATACTTCTCCAATCGTCATCATTAGAGGAAAAATTACCAAGAACATATGGGCCTACAAAACTCGGTTTTATTTCACTGGTGAAAACAACACCAAAAATACCTATTGGAAAGATTAAAAGAATAATAATAATAATCGTGAGATAATCTCGCCTTCAGTCTGGACTTTGGTAATTAAAGGATGAATTCAAGTTAGAGCTGCAGACAAAATACACTTGTATTTTTTTCCACATCAATCATTTAAGCATTACAGACAATTAAAATATTACACTTTTAAATGTTTTCTACATAAACTGAGTATGACAGGACCTACGTTCCCATGAATTTTTTCCTTATTATCTACACAGTTAGCTATTCATCCTGGCAATAGCCACAGAAGAATCTCTATTGTTATGCTGGCCTCCACTCCTCACAAAGCCAGGACTCTGCAAGGCTGACTCCAGCACAGGGCCAGCTTCT